GTGTCTCCCCTCAGGGTGCCGCAGATTGGTCTACGCACATTTCAAGATGTGCTGCTGGGGCTGAAGCTCGATTTCCTCCTGTGGGGGTGGAACTGGACATGTCCGGAGATGGTGCGCGAGTATCTGCAGGAGAGACACAAGCCCTCACGCGGATTCCGTCCACATCCAGAAAGATGGGACATTTGTAACTGGGCGCAGGTGTTGGGCAGGTGTGCCGGCGAGGTAGGGGATCTCCTCTTCGAGGCCGATAGCGTGAAGGTGTCCCAGGAGGAAGAAATCTCCTACAATGAGCTCTTCAAAGTTGCCAGGCATCCCAAGAACGGTTTCCGGACACGGGATTACAAAGATCGATTGCGGAGAAATGTCGCGACTGCATTGCTGCAGATATTGCAGCCGACCAAGACCGCTTACATGCATGGTTGGCAGGTAGAATTTGTGGAGCTAGTGTTGTCAGGAGCTCCAGTGCATTGGGCACGGCTCCTGTGGAAGGTGACGCGCCAACATGCGCAAGAAGAGAGAGGAGGAACCCTCAATCATCTTTCGCCTTACCTGATTGTGTTTTATCGGGCGATGGGATGTTTGACAAATTCAGAGCGGACACGGTTTCCGCTGCTGACACAGAGCTATCCAGGTAGATACTCACGGGAGGCCGAAGTAGACACGGATCCGGACGAGGAAACTGCCAGCCCGCCTCCGGCTCCGGCCCCAGCAAGAGCAGCAGAAGAACGTCGAAGTGAGCGCATTCCGCGAAAGCGGAAGTGGGATGAGAGACCTGAGGACAGGCAGCCGGAAGTGCCAGCTGCGCCGACTCGTGGTCGGCCCACCCCCGAGCCTCACAGTCGACCAAAACAGAGGGCACGCAAAATGCCAACTAGTACTGAGGAGATCAGGCGTACTCCGCTCCGGCGGAATCCCACACAGGAGGAGATAATCGCGCAGATTCTAGGGAAGTCGACAAATACCTCTGCGCAGAAGGCACCAATGCCTTCGGAAGGAGATGGACGGACTGACAGTCGGCCGACTACGAGTCGGGCGACTGAAGGTCGACAAACGGAAGGAAGGCCAACTGAACGGCGCGTTGAACCGGACAGCAGGCCGGAAGCAGAAGAGAGTTTGGCTGACGAGCCAACAACCCTCAGAAGGTCGTCTTCGGCGGAAGGCACTTCTGGGAAAACGCCACCAGCAAGCAGGCCAAGTGGAGTGAAGACGCGCAGGGTGTATCCGACTCCCAGTCGGACAACTGCTGGTCGGCCGACTGCGAGTCGGTCAACAGAGGGTCGGCCGGATTTGCCGACTGCGAGACGGACAGAGCCGGCGACCAGTGTGCAGACGCCTTCGGCGGACGCACCTTCAGCGAAGACACCTTCCGCGCAGATTGCGCCGGAAGGGCAGGCAGCAGAAGCGGGCGGTGCAAAGGTGACAAGAGTCACTGCGGCGTCGACCCCTTCGGAGACCGAAGATCGAGCCGGAACAGGGGCTCAAGCAGTGGGATCCCCCACTGCCCTGGATATTTTAGCAGGCAGTGGTGTGGCAGTCGCAGCGGAAGCTACTGCGCGCCACAGTTCCAGGGAGTCGCCAAGGGATTCGGTGGCGACTGAAATCCTCGAGACTGAGGATGAGACGAGCTCGGAAGAGCAAGAAGAGGATTCCGTGCAGAAAACGCCAACAGGGGTGTTGTGCGAGCAGATAGTCCCACTCCTGCGATATCTGGATCGCAAGACATCCAAGTACTCGGGTACTGGAAAACCGCAGTCTTATGTGGAGACTGTCAAGCGCAGGACGAGGAGCAAGGTGGCCACTTGGGCCTCTAGGTGCCACGTATATCAGGAGAGGAACACCGCCCTCCGACAATAACTGGCGGTCACACAGAAGCTATACCAAGCCTTGCAGCAGCAGAGGGAGGATGCGGCGACGAAAAGCCAGGCGGAGGCCGAGCTAATGCGGGCAAAGATCGAGTCGGAATTGCAGGAAGAGCGGAGACAAAACCGCATCCTAGCAGCCGAGCTTGCGCGCCAGACGCGCGCCTTAGAAGAAAGTCAAAGAGGCCGCAAGGAGGATGAGGAGTTGTTGCGCAACTTGCAATCCGAGTGCTCGGATTTGAGGGCGCAGCGTGCGGAAGCGGAAATGCAGCTAGCAGAGGTGGAAGGCAGCTGCCGGGCGCAAGAAGAGTTGGCGAAGCGGGTGACTCACTGTCTAAAAGGATACGCCCATTGGGAGGTGGCAGCTCAAGAGAGGATCACACTCAGGGAGTTCGAGCTTCGGGCGGCGGCATTGACGGAGGGTGATAGTCGGAGTCGGCGGCGAGTAGCGCGGAAATTAGAAACCTTCTTGTCGGGTGCGCGCGACACTATGGCGCACTTAGAGTCGGAAGTCACTGCAGCGCTCCGACGCCTGGGGTTGCGCAGCCGGTCGGAAGACTGGCAAGGTAGAGACAGCGAGCGGAGCAGTCCGGCGCGCAGGAGGCGCAGCACCGGATCCGCCGAGTGCAGTAGTATAGTTTGGTTTCGCGCAGATATTGCGAGTAGTAGATAGCATAGCGTAGTGTTAGTTAGGACCTTTGAGGGTTAAAGTAGATCAAGGCGTTTTGCCTTGGGACTCTTCCAGTTTCGGAAGTGCAGATCAGGAACTCACTTTCTTGGCGTATTTGTGCATTTTGGTCCTGGCACCACGTAGAGAAGCTGCAGCATAGCGAAGTTACCGTATGTTGTAGTTGAAGGCCTTCGGCTGAATGTTCAGAGCTAGTACCCGGTTAGAGACTTGAGTAGTGCGGATCTGCACCTGCGGGTGATTTCTGATGCTCAGAGCCGGCTGCGAGTTAGAGACTTGAACAGTTCCCCCTTACTCCTTCGAGTGACATATCCTGATTGTACTCCTACGGGAAGTTTCCCCTGAATGCCAAAGTGAAGTTTTATTACTTCGTGTAAGCCTTGGTTTGCAATTCAGGTTGTGTGTGTGTGTTACTGGATCGTGTCTCAGTTAAGTTCTCAGTCGGGTCTGCACTCCCTGCGTTTGGTGTGAGAGTCGAGGGTGACGTCCACGGCGTATGAAGAGGCTTCGTTCCGAAGTGGAAAGTCCAGTCCGGGTACCCTATGCTAGTTCCTGGCGGAAGGGCAGTAAAAGCCGGAGTGGGAGTCACTACCTGCAGAACCTCTGAGTGAACTTTTGAGACACTTTCCTCCTGAAATCCGAAGCGGAGGTCCTGACCGACCTCCGAGTTGTGCTTTTGCCAGTTTCAGGTGTGTGTGTGTGTGTGTTGAGTGACCACGCTGTACCGTGCATCCTCCGAGCATCCTCCGAGTCGAGATCCTCCTCCGAGTCGAGCACTGCAGTATTTCTGGGAGTGATAGTCGCCTAGAATTCAAACTCTACAAAAGTCTGTTAAACGTGACACTTTTACTCTGTGTGTTGCCTCTGTCCCTGTGGGTTCGATCTTTTTACCACCATACTGCAGTTTTAGCCTTTGGTGGGTTATTACAAGTAGGGTGAGGTATAACTAACCTCTTGAAAATTAGATATATTTTTGGCTACTTTTGAGTTTTAAAGAGTAGTTAGTAACAAAAAAATTTCCGAAACTGGCATAGTTCAAATCGTAGAGCTCAAATAAATTTCCAACGGAGAAAGTCGGCTAACTTCCGGATCAAGCTCAAGACAAAAGCACAACACAAAGTAAATATGAAATCATCATTACTATATTGTTATGATTTTGGTTATCAACATTCAGAAAGCTAAAACAAGATAATAACTTTTCTAATATTCATTAAAAAATTCTTGAAGTTTCGTTTGAAATTGGAAATCAAAAAATATTGTAGTAAATTTTAAATCCATTGTAAGACAATGCATGAGTTTCTGACGATAAGTTTATCGTAAGATTAGAATATTTTGATGGCTTTTGCAAGCTGACAATATGTTCTTTGACTTCTTTCTACTTGCATAGAATGTGGTCAATCTATGCCCTGTTGTATTGTACTACCAATCTAGTACTTTTATAGTGAGAGAATATAAAATGAAGAAACAGCACCGGTACTTAGTTCTAGGGGTGATTGGGATTTCGACATACATTGTCTTGGTTAATTTACACTAGTTTAGAAAAAGAAGTGTAAAGAATACAGATATTATATTGTTTAATGAAGGAAAAATATGTATAATTGAATCAGCATTTATATATCTTCGAGATCTCATCAAGGGCTCTTGCTGTTATGTGAGAACAATGACACCTTATACTTTCGAAAACCCATTTCCTTACGTTCTATGAACCTAAGAAATGATAATGTTTGATCCTTCGTGGAATAATCACATGGCAAACTTGTCAGGAAACGAAATTTTCACACCCATATGAATCTCAAAGAAAAGTACACGGGCAACTCCTAAGCGGTCAATCTCGAAACACAAAAGGTTCACAAGTTGGAAAGATTTGTGGACAGTACGGAGACACTACCTTGGAAAAATAATTTATCTCAGGACGATTTGTATTTAGCTTTTACAGCAATACCTTCAGCCTTTGGCGATACAGTACATTTCAGAAACACATAAATCTCAGATGTTTAGTGATGCATCCACTAAGTTGACAATATACGGCATAAGTTACAACATACCTGTCTTCCTAAGGCTGAAGGCCCTAATAAGCTGACTATATACAGAATGGTTTACGACCTCCCCTTCTTTTTAAGGCTGAGGCCCTAATTAGCTTACTATATACATAATGGGCTACAACCTTCCATTCTTTCTAAAGCTGATGGCCTTAATAAGCTGACTATATACATAACATCATACAAATCACAACATACGTCACAACCTTCTGTAGCTTTGCTTCAAAGGGAGTTGTAAGCTTCACAACTACATTTCTTCAATACGTTCAGTGTGGGCGAACAAGTGCACAATGCTGTCTGCATATGACACATGACTAAAATGGATGCGTGAACATAAGATAAAGTGATACTCAATCTTCGACCGTTGAGTCGGGGTTGAAGTTTCGCCGCCGGGGAGCCCTGATGGTTCATGTCTCAAAACGGCAAGGCTGCAAGTCCAGTGAGCATGCTCACAACCTGAGACATATAAGGTCGATCCTTTGCTTCTTGTTGGACACAAGAAAGAGCTATTTTAAGAGTCGCCACGACTTCCTCCTGGGAGCAATTTCCCACCAAATCGTGGTCTACCATGTCCATCAATTTGTCTCTGCGTAACAAATCACTTGCCTGCAAATTTTGTGGACAAGAAGATAAGAAAGATGAGTAACCAGTTTTATACATTGACTTACTTTCGTCTTCTTCCCTGCAAACGAGAAAAAATACTGAAAGTGTAGAGAAGGTGTCTTATCGATGATCATCATGAACACATAGCTGCACTGAACATACCCATACTCGTAGGTACATCTCTTCTTCGGACAAGGTAGACGAAACAGATCTGAGACATGGTCTTCCTGCAACAATCTCCAGTAGAAGGATCCCAAAGCTATAGACATCCAATTTCTCTGTAAACATGCCTAGGGTCGCATATTCTGGCGAGAAGTAACCCCTGTATTACCCACGAGAATGGTACAAGGTCAAAAAATGCTGGTAACTGGAAGTGTTGAAAGGCCATCAAGCTACACTTAAGACGAATTTATTTTAGCATGGTACTCACCTTGTTCCACCTACATGAGTAGCCAGCTGAGTTTTGTCTTCATCAGCAGGGCGAGCTAATCCAAAGTCAGCAATTTTGGCATTGAGATACTTGTCAAGGAGAATGTTCTGAGGCTTGATATCTCTGCAGGCAAGCAAAAACGTTCAGTTTCATAATTAGAGAAAAATGGACTACATATCCACTTCGTTGTTCTATTCAAATTGTTTCATGAACACTCCGTTGTCTTCTCTCATTACTACAACAAAAAACCTCACATACTCAGTAGCCATTTTCCTACTACTTTTGACTGGCATCGATCAAAGTTAACAAGTTACCGAGAAGTTGACTTCGCGTATGTGGTATGTGTTGAGTAGCTTACCTGTGGATAATTTTGGGCTGTAACTCCTCATGAAGATAAGAAAGACCACGTGCAATACCAACAGCTATCTTCTTTCTTTGATCCCAGTTTAGTACACGTGGTCTGGAACTACCTAAATAGATTGAAAGTGTGTCGATCAGCAATTATCTTTCCTTGAGAATGTCATATTATTCGTAGAATAGATAGATTTGTAAAACTCTCGTGATCCAAGCTTTGATTTAACTGATAACGGAGTTTATGAGGCCATAATTTGAGAATCATAGTGTTACAAATGCCCACAAAGCATACAGATGCATGCTGTGAAGAGATGATCGCTTACCCCACAATGCCTCGGCAAGATTCATATTTTCTGCAAACTCATATACCAACATCCGCTCTTTCTCTCTTACACAACATCCTCTGAGTTGGATCAAATTCGTATGCTTGATACCCGATATTAAGACCATCTCCTTGAAGAAGTCAATCACATTCTGATCTGTTGGATACAGCCGTTTAACAGCAAGAATCGTCCCATCTGCGAACACAGCCTGGTCATAGATTACTGAAGTTTAGTTGCAAATTTTCATATACTCACATTTCCGAGTGCAGCGAAGATATTTGTTATAGGAGCTCGCAACACTTGGTTTGACACACTCCTCGTCACTCCAACAGGATCTAAAGAACATGGGATCCAATGGAAGCATGCTTCTGCCAAGAGCTCATTGATAAAAAGCCTACGGATATGCATAATAGATTCTCAGATTGTCACCTTGTACACAGCACCAAATGCTCCTCTCCCTAATTCGTTGTTCTTCGAAAATTCATTTGTTGCTGCTTTCAGCTCCTCGTATTTGTAAAACGGTGGTCGTACATCTAGTTTGGCCAGAGCTGCAGAAAAGCAAAGATGTGTCATTTGGAAAGCTTGCACTCTTTGATCGTTACCTGACCTGGCTGATTTCAATGCAGTTGACTATTAAGGCTGATAACCTGCAACAGACTTACCGTCTTGTATCTGCTGAAGGTTTTGTATGCGCTTCCAGGAATTTCTCAGAAAGAACAAAAGGATGGCCGCCGAGACGAGCGCGCCAACGCCCACTGTTATGGCCACGATAAGTAAAGTTCTATTTCCACTATCCTCTGCGCAAGGTCAAATGGCACCATGTACAGATTATGAGACCATGATGCATCGGTGTGACACTGTGAGCAGAAATTTGAAACAGTCAGTCATGGTTTGAACATCTCAGAGCAATGCGTTCAACAATTGCAGTTGACTCTTGCCTGCAAGCCAAAAATCCTCAGCTTCGTTGGTCCGGCACAGGTATCTAATTGCTAGAGTACTCTCTGAACCTCCACGAGCCAGACACCAAGGACTTCCTCCAAGCCTTAGATTCAAAAAGCAACAAAAATGTCGATCCCATTAGGCCAGAGTGAATACACCTTTTTTAGAGGTTTCTATGCTTTAAGAATCTAGATGCTGATGTCTTCAGAATACTGTGAGGTATTCAAGAGTACGTTTTTTCCAGTTTGGGATGGAATACATACCATGTTCACCAAACTAATTGGGCACTTAATACTCACAAAATAAATGAGTTACTGTTTTGCTCTGATAACTGCCCACTAGTTTGAGATGGCCGTATAAGGTCGTCGAGAGCATCGTCTGATGGAATATGAACTATGGAGATTGGGTTCCCCATCAGTCGCACTCTTTGCACGGATGATGTGTTGAGTTCCTTCTTTCCTCTCACGAGATAGTACCAACTTGTCAGGTTCAGCTCTGTGAAGTTATTGTTTTCCATATTTCTGCACATGTTACCAAACACAGGACACTAAATTAACTGGGAGAACAAAGGGATATATCTTTTGAGCAGTTATTAAGAGAGCTAAATTCACTCAGAGTTCTCATTTGCGCATAAAGAAATAAAAATGAGGTGCTTGGACTCGAAAACACTTACATGTTTTCGAGTTTAGAGCTCCAGAGAGTATCTGTGATTGCGCCTGACAATAAGTTATCGTTCAAATATCTAGACGTACAGTTTCGAGAATCCAATAGTTAATTAGTATGGCCCCGAAGGAGTGCTCCTTCCGCGGAGGAAAATTTGTGCAGAAACTCAATGCCGAAAATAAGACTCAGTCACAAGAATCAGCGTACAATCTCAAACGCTCTCATATCATAAGGGTTTGCAGGACGATGTACTTACAGTGTCTTCAAGCTTTGTAACTTTCCTAGTTCAGTGGGTAAACCTTGAGACAAGTTGTTCCCTGACAAATCCAAGCTTTCCAGATTCTCAAACTTCACAATTTCCGCAGGAATGGGTCCGATGAAAGCATTATCTCTAAGATTTCTGAACATTTGGTCAACATCTCAAGTAAGTTCAGATCTGAAGGCATTTCTGCTTTTGCACACAAATTTTGCCTTGAAGAACTCAGAGAGAGAGAGAGAGCACTCACATCCCTTTGACCGACTGGGTCAAAGACCGCATCAAATACGAGAGGTTGCCGACGAGCTGATTCTGGGAGAATGATCTGCACATCTACCGGAGCTTCTTCAGCACATCATAACTATTTTTATTTCATGGTTTGATCAGCATCAACTCATGTTTCATAAGTTGTAACAGTTGGCAAAGTTTGGCCTAGTTTACAAGGAATGAACTACGTAAGGTTGAAGCTAAAGTTAGCGAGAACGCAAGTATATGTTGCAGCTGATGACGTTGTACTGTACTCACATATATTCCAAATTCATGAAGGAATCGGCAGGAAAAGGCGGAATTTGACCAGAAAAGTTGTTTCGTGAAAAATCCCTGCACAGCAAGAAAACAGTAGGACATCACGAAATGTGAACTGCAGTGACCTGAGAAATAAAAGGTGGATGTTCAGCACCATGAGGTAGAGCAATGTTGGTAAACGAAAAATACCGCCGCACATCTGATCACATCTAGCACTGTAAATAACTTCTCGATTTGATCACTGACTCGCAAATCAACAAGGTAAACATAATTTGTAGAGATCTGATGGGACACATCTCTGAGTCTTACAGCGCTCTCAGCGTGGATACATTCACTAAGGTTAGTGGCACGCGTCCATTGAAATGATTATTTGATAAGTCCAAGACGGTCAAACGACTTAGCAATGATACTTCCAGGTCGAGCTCTCCCAACACGGCTTTCGTAGTAAGATTTCTGCATCGCCAACAAAGCCTTATTAACGTCGTCTTCGCGTGGCAAGGTTTTGCAGCAAAATACGCACTTTGCAAGAGTTGACCTAATTATGGTTCACGGCATGTATGCAGATTACCTTCAATCCATTATCAGAAGGAGGCAAGTTGCTGTGCTGCTACAAATTCAGATCGTGATGGTGGAAAGGGATTATTGTAAGAAATCCGGGAATTAAAAACTCACATTTGTGTTATTGTAGGGGGCAATTCGATACTACAAACTAGCCAGTCCCAAGGAATTGGGAGGCATGGATCCCCAGCTGTGTCTAGGGAATTTGATACCAAATTGGTTGAAAACCTTTGGACTGCATCAACTGAGAAAGTTAAAGGAAATAAAACCACATCAGTCTTTTTCGTCTTTTCATGAATATTCCTGTTTAAAAATTTCTGCAAGCATAGCTGTCGGTGAACAAGCGACATAAAATGCTAACTGTGGCCTCACTTACCATCAAGTTTTGAAGTTCTGACTGCCACCGCTGCAAACTCACCATGAATCTCGGCTGCATTTACCAGAACAGGTGCTTCTGTGGTTTCATTTGGTTCAATTCTGATTGTAAACGAATCGCTCCTGATTAAAAGGTCGTTGCTCAATAGCTGAATAAAATTGGGAGAACCAGGTACCTCAAACGGACCCCAGCCCCCAGCTAGATCACCGTCGATTAGTCTCACGGATTGATGAGGATTCACATCTCCAGAAACTACGTTTGAACATAAAATCTGGAACCAGAATGTTGGTAGTGGACGGTGGGCTCTAGCGCTCTTCACATTAACCTCAAAGTTCATGGTAGACGACAAATTTTTTCCCCTCCATATCGATCTCATAACTGCAATAGGGAAGCGAACATTGTCCCCGCCATACCCAAGGTTTGCATCTTCGGTTCTGTTGTAAGCCTCAAACTGCGCTCCTTCGGGAATTCGTGGGGATGACCATATACGATCGAAAGGGTCTGCGGGAAATCTGCGTGCAGAACGAAGCAAAACGTCAATGGTCACCATGCACTTCACATGATGGACAGCATGATGAGGTAAAACTAGTCTCGCTCCACTCTTCTTCAATTCTCATTCGCATGTGCACCTGAGAGGAGGCGACTCAGTATCAAGTATTCCCCCGAAGTCGTAACGATCAACCAGCATGAGATAGCTCGACTGTTGCTTTTCTTTCGATTGACCAGATCTGTCATAGGTATCCGGATTGAACGGACGCAACTCCAGAGTTGAGATAGCTGGCATTGAGGACTTGTCTTCCAAGGGCACGAGACAAACGTAAAATTTGTCATCTAATGAAGAGACCACCAGCTCGATTGTCTGCGGTATAGAAGGCAGTAGCTGGATTGTGGTGATGTAGGTGGAATCGACAGTAAGGTAGAACCGAGTGGCATATCCCGATAATGCTTTTCCATTCACAGTCAAATTTTGGCTGGGAAACATTGCTCGAAGAAGGTAATTTCGTGATCCTTCAGTTGCGTTAAAAGCAATTGGCAAGTTGTAGCAAAACTTCGAGCGTGTCATTTGGTTGGGAAGAAACACCAGAGCAGTTTTCAACTGTTCGTCATTCGGCACGCTTGGTGAGCTCTCGTTGTACTGAACGTCGGCGGTGGTGATGACATTTCCATCAAAAAGACTTTTGTACGAGTCGAGGTGAGATTCATCAGTGATCCAGTCGAGTGAGGTGACAGGGTCTACTCCGCTTACGCCGCCACAACTGATGCTTATGAATCCTAAGTTGCAAAATATTCATCAGTACTATCACACTGGCCTGATTTTATATTTTCATAGCTTCACACAATCGCCAATAATTCCCATTGCAATATCTCGTTGGAGCTGCAAGCTAAAATTGAATTAAGTTTCTTGATTGAATTCACCGTAGAAAACCGATTTTGCAGACTCACCTTGTGTAGAGCCCTCAGTAGACTGGGAGACGACCGGAGAAAGAATCAGGTTATATAATAAGACCCCAGAAAGAATTCGAGCCAAGAATCTTCTGCTTCTGCTCCCCAATTTCATTGGAAGCTGGCTTGTGAGTTGCAGAGAAAATTGACACAAAACTCTGCCCGCCATTAGTTGCCAGATATTACGGCTCCAGCTTGGGCAGATGTCTGCAGCGTAATCAGACAGCTCAGTGATATGAGTGCTCCACATACTGTGCCCACAGCAATGAGCATACTTAATATGACGAGGTCCATATACAATATCTCAATTGATGTTCGTGAGGCTGATATGTAGCTAAGAAGAAGAATAAGGCGGATGTTCATGCATGACTACAGATGCCTGCAGGTCGCGTCTAAGATATCCCAACAGATTGTGAACTTGGTAAGTGCATCAAACTTGGTGAAGCGGCCAGAAACTTTCACGCCTGTCAGAACGCGCATGTCTATTTCTGAGGAAGACTAAATTCACTTCCTTACGATCATGGTGGAACCAAGAGTCAATACCAAGCCTATGAAATCACAACGAACAATGTAAAGAGCACTTTTTTTCCAAAACTCTTATTCAGCGTGTGGTACTTGTGACTGGCGGACAATTGTGACAGAACTTCGAAGGAGCCTTGTGCTCACGATTCCCCGGGCTAGAAAGCTCGAGCAGTTCTCAGCGCTTTCGCACTGCATTTGGGATTAAGGGTTGGACTGAGGTTTATAGTGACACCTTCTTCAGCCACTTCTACCGGTTCTTGAATGAAATCTCTCTCGCTTCTCCACTCCACTCCACTTCACTCCAGGGTCCGTGCCAGCATCTTTACTGCAATTGATGAAGCCTGAAAAAATCAACTCTTGTACGCTAAGATATTTGCGACCCCAAGTGTATGCAGAAATTAGAACTTCTGAGGCAGAATACATATGTGCAAAGACATGCCAGGTTTTCCCAGAAAATTCTCATTCCTAATCCTGAACTTGAATGCAACGCAGTCTGATATGCGAAGTGTGAAGCTGCGAAAGCGGCTGATTAAGCGTCCTGTCGCTGCCCACATAATCTTTCCCATACTTGCTCGTAAAGACAAGCTTCAGATACACCGAAAATCTCAAGGCTGACATACGCCTTGAAAAGCACGCCTCTCTCGCCATCGTTTGTTCACTAATAGCAACAGAAGACGGTCGGATATAAGCTTTGCAAGTATCACCTTTTTGAGATTGAGACGAAACGGCTTTACCGGCGAGTTGAAGGTGAGAAGCGCAAAAACAATCTTGAAACTATCTCTCCTGCCTTCCCGTTTACTCTTGTCTTCGATAGACGAGAAGTCTACGCACTATCAGCACCAGAAATTTGCTATCGAAATCAACGACATTTACTTTGTGCCCAGAGGGTCGACCCGGAAACTGGACAATCCAATACAGTGAAAAGGATTACCAATACAGCTCGTCTACTTCGAAAGAATGTCTGCACTTATTATCAGGACCACGTGTTCTGCTGTGGCTGTGGCAGTTCCAATCGTCAATTAAAGCCTTTGCGCATAATCATCTCTACTGGAAAACTCATAAAGACTTCAATTCAGTACGACTCAATCTCTTCGGATTGCAGGCGGGAAAGTCCTGCTCCCACTGCGCCGCACGAAGCGTCGCAAGAATCCCATACTTTCAAGATTGTCCTTATAACTTCTGCGTCCGCCGTTTATGTTCCGACGAGTGATCGTCGCCTAAATATACAAGTGTTTATAATCAAATGGTATGTACGAGCATCAATGACTTGTTCTCCCAACGATTTTCAAGCCACAATCCGCGTGGGTCACACATTCTCCTTCTGATTGTTTTGCAATAACTTTCAAGTTAAAAAATTCAGTATAATATTTTAAAGGCCGGAGTAGATATTTCTGAACAGTATACCAGAGGCTACGCTCCTTAAACGGATTGGTGAGATCTTCCCGAATCAATATGGTGGGTATCCACTGTCTTGATCAGTCGGATCATGACATAAGGATGGAGCCGAGGATATAGGTACTCTGTAGTACTATAATGTGAGTAGATGTCAGCAGCACCTTCAGCGAATACTGCGTACGTGGATTTCTGGCATGGAGTGGCGTGGTATTTGACGAAGGTCGTCTATCTGTTCCCTTTTTTCCGTGGTCCGTGATTGCGGTACAGAACGCACCGTGCGGTCTTCGCAGCTTGGCACCACTCTGTCAGCAGCACCTTCTGCAAAACTGCGTACGTGGGAAATTCTGACCCGGCGTTGACCTGGCGTGATTTTGGACAAAGGTCGTTGTTATATGGGCTCCATCTCGGCTACGCAGATATTGACTTTACAGTACCCCAATCTGGCCAAATGGTCTCTGAAGGTAACCCGTTTAATCAGACCAGGGCCAAGTTGCAAACGGGATAGGAAGATCCCATCAAGTCGTACACGTAGGCTTGGCCACGGTCCGGACTGGCCGTTAACCGATCCCGATTCGTCACCCTTATCATAACGGGCCTTATATCATATAGTGCATTTCTTGGCCACGATCCGGTCCGGACCTTGGGTTAACCGGTTAATTGTCGGTCCCAAATTTTCTCCGAGACTGGTTATCCACACCTCATTAAAAGTGACATTTTATTAAAAAATGTCACCTTTGTCACAATAAAAATGGGCCGATGCCACAATTAAGCTCTTTTCTATAGTTGCTGTTTGGTTGCAATTGAACTTTTCGACGTAAATCTTTTAGAGTTTGCAAGCACTGCCTAAAATTTACAAAGTGCGCGATTGACAACGAAATAATGTTATTATCCCAACCAAGCAAGCATTGGACCTCATTGCTGCCAATAAGTGACTAGAAAGAGAATCACTATATTTGTGTTTTTGAGCAAAGTCAAATTTGTAAGTAACGCATGATCACCTGATGGATGTATTTTCGGAAGAAAAGAGTATCACATACGCGGCGAAGGTTTTCTAAAACTCTAATGCCAGAATATTCTGGTGATGAAACCAAGTTTCTTTCCAATCCTAGGATTGAAGACAGGTGATGTTACTCATCTTCAGCTGTGGTTTTGAGGAGTAATACAAGTCACGTCTCTTGGATTTTGGAAGTTGTCACTATTTAGATAAAGTTTAATATACTCAATGTTAGGATGAATACCCTTGAACTCATTTCTTCTCAAAGGACTAGCTCTATCTTTGAGTATCCTCACGGTGAAGAATCCTCGTGTTCATGGACTCTTCTAAATTCTTGTTAGTTTTCGATGGTTTTGGGGTCCCTTGAAAATAACATGAGTGCGGATGCCAAGTTAGCCACAACGGAGAAACAATCCTGCCTATGGTTTTCCAGAAATAAGCTCAATCTGTATGGTTCCAATACTGTCACATAAGTTTTTCAATACAAATAACATTTTTAATAAATATTGGGTGCCACAATTAACTTAAAGGTGGCAAAAATGGCAAATGCCACTTTTAATGAGGTCTCGGTTAACCGTGAACCGGACACGGAGTACGTCATCAGACTAGCTTTGACTTCGCGAGGTGATTCTTCGAGCTTTCTTGACTGTCCATCTGGGTGGAGATTACAATACGCCATGTTCCCCCTGTGTTTCTGCATGGAAGAATGCAGAGACCGACAGCTGTCGAGAAGGTTTCGATTCCTTCGGCCCGAAGTCTTGGAACGCATGACTGGATCGACATCCACAGTCCTGAGGGAATTTTTCAATCCGTTTTGATCGGTTGCAGTCTGTCTGGTTCAGTATACGATCTCGAGGGCTGCACTTTATGGTGTACGTGTCCACCCGCCAACTGTGCCTGAGCTCTTCGAGGGTGGCTGGTGGGGATCTTATTTCGTAAATCTGGACATCGTCGTACATTGAGTACGACGGGAAGAAGTCAGAGACGAGAGAAGTTTCGAATGTTGGGATTTCTTCCCCGTGGTTATATTTTTTATGGAATATGAAGAGTCAATTCTCCTTGTTTCTCAATCTGGTCTCCGTTGACATTTTCATTTACAACCCTGCGGAGAATTATAGAGCTATATTAATTTTTAAAGATGGGGGTTTTGAAAGAATTTTTTCCGCGAGATGTATGGATTCTTCATGAACATTAAATTATTCTATTTTATCCACATTGCTCTTTGTCCAAAAGCCACTTTACTCGTCACCTATCCATGATTGAACAATTTTCAAGGTATCTCTCTTGTAAAACATATCATGGTATTCGATAAAAAATCTTTCATTTCTTTGAAAATGATGTATTTCTGTTACGTTTTTTATACAAAAATATAATATGACTACCTTTTTATACACATATCATATGAACCAGGTAAAAACTAGATCCATGTATATTTAAAACGTCAATTACCATTAAGTATCACAGTGACAAGCTCCTCCAAGAGAGATGACGTCGTCAACAGTAGATGATTGATATAGTTGAGAATACATCCTTATCAACATCAATCATCTATGTATATAGTACTTTATTAAACATCTAAGTTGTGACTCTTTGTCAACTTTCATATAAACCTGTGTCGCATGTACATCATTCTGGTCAGAAAATATCCAAACGTCTAGCTCAAGAGCAATATATTGGAAACTTTGTGTGAACTGCAGCCTTTGAATACTTGCTTCCCATTATTTCTATAGATTATTTTAGGTTGTCAAAATTTTTTCCACTCAAAATTAATGACTTGTGATTGGATCGTTATTAAAGTTCACCAAAACTGCAATTAATAATTTTTACACTTTCAAAACTTTTGTGTCATTTTCACTTTCGAATTCTCCTCAACAGGTTTCCACTCATACAGTAATATACAGATTTCAATATACGAAAATCTCAAATCATTAGTTGAACCAAATGTTCAACCTCACAAAATTATTTATTGACAGTCAAACTTCACATTTGAAAAATACCCCCTTAAAAAAAAACTTTTCTAGCAAAATTTATAGCAACTTGAAGACTTTTGAAGACTTTCTACCACTAGCGACTTCTTGCTTGCACTAAATACAAATGCACAAAATCAAACAAGTGAAAACTTTAGCTTGAAATGAACTCTCAGTTGTCGGTTTTTCGACTATTAAATTAGATTGTTATGGCATCTCACACAGAATTTCAGATCATTCAAACAATCCTCTAACTTTCCTTGTTATTTTCCAACTTTTAACGGTGAATTGCAATCTTGCACTTTGATATTGTATTAATTTGAGTCTAGCCCCTGGTATTTAAAACTGATTCACACAATTAAAAAATTGAAGTTGAACCAAGGTTTGAGTTTTCGACTTAATGATGTTTTCATCCTATTGTTTTTCAAACATCAAAATTTGCTCTAAGTAACTTAAATTTCATTTTCACGCTTTCAGTCAAACCACTTTGCTCACTTTCTTTGAAAGAATTAACTATATTACTTCATTGACTATTGATTATATAATTTTTTCCTGTGAGTTATTTATGTTTTCTAATTATACTTATGTATTTTAAAGTACTATGTCAATCACAATACATAAATAAGCTCTTTATTTCGCTCGAATTTCTTTGGCAATTTCTTTTATTTCTCTTTGCATGACCATATGCTTTATTTACCTTCTCGCTGTTCTCAATGTCATCTTTGTAAAGTTAGACTTGTCTTCTTATTGTAATATTTTGTTCATCTATTATTCTTTATTATGAATTGGTGTAAACAGAAAAACAAACATTTACACAAAGCCTATAGCAAAAATATGTGATCTATTATTTACTTACGTTCATTAGATCATAAAAAAATTGCATGCAAATCATGATCAACTATTTGCTTCATTTTTTTAAAGATATTGTAATCTGATTTCTTAATTCTAGAAAAATTTTCAAATTATTACAATCAATTAGAAACTTTACTTAAATTTGATTTTAAATCCAAATTTTATTATGAACTTTTCAATTAGATAAGAGTTTTAAAGCAAAACATATGATAATGATTGTATTACATCAATATAAATATAACTTAACTATCATTTTAAGCTAACAATTGATTTGTAAAAAAACAAATTTTTACAGTTTAGGTTTTGATCCACAAGCTTTGTGTTGATTAGACTTTACTAATCAAACAAATAAGTATATCACAATTAAAAAATTACCTTAATTTTCAATAATTTAATCAAATTTTTATAAATAAATAATTCATCATTTTGATTCATTTTTTGTAAATTGGCATTTGAAATTGAGTTTTTTCCATGGTTTATTGATTTTAATCTCTTAATTCATCATGAAAAATTGTTCCAAATTTTTTTATAACAAAAAAAATTTCTAACATAAATTTTTGCTGATATTTAAATTTTTCTATAAATTTTTTGTTTTAGAAAAACTATAAATATAGTAAATTTTTAAAAAATTTATATTTATATGTCTTTTAATTTGAAATATTTTTTTATTATTCATTTACATTTCCAATTTTTTTTCAATTAAAATTTATTTTGTGACTACTATATATTTCATAGTTATATTTTTTTATGCAAATATTTTTATATTCATTATTTTTTTAATTTTCATATCTTATTAATGTATAGAGTTTGATTTTTTGAGCTGAGCACTTTAGCAACTTTTGTATAATTATCTTTCGTAGTTAAATTGAAGGAAAAGATTATTCAAGATGAAGATATGATTGCATTATCTAAAATCATCATATCACATACGTGTGTTTGGTTTTTAGATCATAAATGAACCAAT